TTTTTCTTGTCAGTCAAGTTACACCCCGAGATTATTCCAATTAAATATTTAGATCGAGTCGAACATCTTAACAGCTATTTTGAGTTAGTCTGAGCATAGTACTTAGTATATGTTTATTTATATATTCTTATAGTTTGATCAGTCAGCAGCAGCACTTACGTTTTCAAACCAGTAGTTCAGGTGGGGACTCAGACTGTGTATCACATTGAGTATAATTACAGCTATCATGTTCGAGGTATGTATATACCAGTTCCGCTTAGAATGGTGGCCGGTTTAGGTGCCCTAAATCCATTTTGAGTTCTAGTGGCGTGATCTGTCCACTAGGGTGTGCACATGGTTCCGGCGGAGTTTATTAGCCGGTAGATTCAGTATCTGGTTCAGTTTATACTGTTGACCAGTCAGTTCACAGACATGACATAGACACATTATATATATGCTCTTGATCATGATAATGCAATTATTATTACTCTTTTATTTCAACATGAGTTTCTGCAGAGCACAGTGACTTTTAGTGCTCACGCCCCTACTATATTATCTTTTTCAGGTCACAAGGTCGGTCCTGAGGAGTGAGCTGCGCTGGTGGCCGTGGGTTTGTTTATATGTCTGTTTACAGACTTTTGGGCATGTATATATTTATTTTGCCACGTAGTACTTCCGCTGACATTTTCAAGTTTTCGAACTCGCATGTTTATTCCCAACTTTTGATTCGATTTATCAGTCGGATTTTGTACAGTATTACATATCAGTTTAATAAATATAATCAATTTTGTTTAATAAGTTTGACATAGAAAAGATAACGGATTTTCAGAAAAAAAATGTTTCTCATTAGCATCCCGAATCACGATTTCGTAACTAATAAGTATTTTTCAGATAAAATTGTGCGAAAATTTTACTCTGATTTTAAAAAGAAAGCGGGGTGTTACAATTGGTATCAGAGAACGTTTTTGTGTATCTGAGTACTTTATTAAGTCAGAAAATTTTCAGAAAACCCGAGCACGCCACGCTCACGCCTCGCCGACTACCAAGTAAGTGCTGATTTTTCCAGTTTATATATCTAAACGAATGTCTAAATCTATGCTCACTGAGGGTGTTAGATATTTAACCCTAGAAACCAGTAAGATGCTCGAGTCAGTCATAAAGTATTTTCCAGAATATAGCCAATTATTCCAGTTATTCGATGATTCGACTCTAGTTCTCTCGGGTTAATTTTAGCAACTCGTCAAGAGATTTCTGCGCATTACTATTCAGTTAATGTACATTGCCATGTTATATTCCTGTGTCTGATTATATTGAACTTTTCAATATTCAGATGCCACCTCGTAGAGATCCAGATCATCAGGAGGTTCCCCAGGCCACCGTAGTCGCTCAGTTTCGTGACTACCTTCCAGAGAAATTTTCCGGCAAGAGAGCTCCCCGAATCGTTGACGAATGGGTCCAGGCCTTGAAATGATTTTCGAGGTCATGGACTGTCCTGATTGTTATCGAGTCCTTTGCACACATATCCAAATGACGGGTGAAGCACGTCTCTGGTGGAACGCCTACTGGGGAATGTGTCCTGGTGAAAAGGAAGGGTGTACGTGGGACAATTTTAAGGATTTGATACGTGAAAAGTACTACCCTGCTTATTATCGAGCAGAAATGGAGCGTCAATTCCTGGCGCTCAAGCAAGGTACTCGGTCAGTGGACGAGTACGAGTGAGAGTTCACTCGATCTGGAGCCTTTGTTCCCGAGCTGGTCAGTATGGAGGCAAAGGGATCGAGACGTTTCACTGACGGGCTTTTGCCAATAGTCCGTCATAACATTGTGGGTCATGGAGTCCAGACCTATGCCCACACCGTCACCATAGCCAGGAGGTGGACGCCAGCATTCAGAGGGAGGCCATCCCGATTCCAGCCCAACCAGTTGCCCAACCACCTGCCCAGCCAGTAGCCACCCAACAACCAAGGAACAAGGGAAAGAGAACGTTTAAAGGAGGCCCAGACGACCGCAGGAACCGCTAGAGACAGCAGCAGCCAATACCAGTTTGCCCCACATGTGGACGACTTCACCACGGAGAGTGCCTTGTGGGCCAGAACATCTATTTCCATTGTCGACAGCCTGGCCATACCCGTGCTAACTGCCCCGCACGACTACAACAACAGCCACCACAACCACAACAAATCCAACAACAACAACCCAGCCAACAGCCACCGAGACAGCCCCAACAGCAACAACGCGGGAGACAACAGGCTCGTGTTTATGCCATCGATCAGGCCGAAGCAGACCAGCACCCAGGTACTATGTCTGGGATGATTATTCTTAACGATGTTCCTGTTTGCCTTATTCAACACCGGAGTGACCCATTCATTTATATCACGCTGATGCCTTGATGCCATTGGGGTTCGTTCTGTCAGCGCTGTTGATCCTCTCGAGATGAGTTTAGCCTCGGGGAAAAAGATAGTGACTGATGCCAAAGCAGAGAGTCTCAGCCTTTCCGTCGGTGGTCGTATCTTGACTACCGATGCTTATGTCATCGAGATGAGGGATTTTGACCTCATTCTCTGTATGGACTAGCTAACCCATTTTCATGCAGATATCCGTTGCCACGACCGGGAGATTACTCTTTATCTTCCGAGAGACGATCAGATCACTTATTTCGGTTCCAGGACTTGTACTCTACATCATATTGTTTCCATGGCGAAAGCCAGAAAGATCTTACGACGAGGTGATTGCCAGGGATACCTAGTGAGCCTGTCGGAGACGAACCGAATACACAGACACCTCACGACATTCCTATCATTCGTGAGTTCGTGGATGTGTTTCTGGACCAGCTTCCAGGCGGTCCACCCAGCCGACAGGTGGAGTTTTCTAGCGATCTTATTCTGGGAGCAAGACCAGTATCCAAGGCGCCGTACCGAATGGCACCTAAGGAGTTACACGAGTTAAAGACTCAGATCTAGGAGTTGCTGAATCTCGGTTTTATTCGACCGAGCGTTTCACCATGGGGAGCACCTATTCTATTCGTTAAGAAGAAGGACAGTTGAATGCGTATGTGTATTGACTACCGAGATCTTAACCGGTTGACAATCAAGAATAACTATCTGCTTTCCAGAATTGACGACTTGTTCGATCAGTTGAGGGGCGCTTGTGTATTTTCTAAGATTGATTTACGTTTAGGTTACCATCAGCTGAAGATCAAGGAGTTAGACATCGACAGCGTTCCGAGCCAGATACGGTCATTTCGAATTTGTGGTTATGCCGTTTGGTCTCAGCAATGCCCCGGCAGTATTCATGGACTTGATGAACCGTGTATTCAATCCTTTTCTTGATCAGTTTGTTATTGTATTCATTGATGATATTCTTATCTATTCTAAGAGCCAGAAGAAGCATGAAGAGCATCTGAGGGCCGTTCTTGAGACCCTTAGACGTGAAAAGTTATATGCTAAGTTCTCTAAATGCGAATTTTGGCTTCAGCGAGTGGCTTTTCTTGGCCACATTATTACTCAGGCAGGTATCGAGGTTGATCCGTCTAAGATTGCCGCAGTCCAAAACTGGTCAGAACCAAGGAATCCGTCCGAAGTTCGTAGTTTCCTCGGCCTTGCAGGTTATTATTGCAGATTTATTGAGAGGTTCTCGAAGATTGCCCTCCCTTTGTCCCAGTTGACGAGGAAGTCTGTGAAGTTCGAATGGACAGACCGTTGTGAGTCGAGCTTTCAGGAGCTGAAAGAAAGGCTTACGACGGCACCGGTGTTGACTATTCTGGATCCTTCTCGGAGTTTCACCATCTATAGTGATGCTTCGAGACAGGGTTTGGTGTGCGTACATATGCAGGATGGCCGGGTTTTAGCGTACGCTTCACGTCAGTTGAAGCCCCATGAGCAAAACTATCCTACGCACGACTTGGAGTTAGCTGCAATGGTACATGCACTTAAGATATGGCGACATTATCTTTATGGCGGTCGGTGCGAGATTTATACCGATCACAAGAGTCTGCAGTATATTTTCACACAGAAGGAGCTCAACATGTGTCAGCGACATTGGTTAGAGCTCGTTAAAGACTATGACTGCACGATTCAGTATCATCTGGGGAATTCGAATGTTGTAGCTGATGCCCTGAGCCGAAAGGTAAAGGGTGAATTATCATGTTCTATTACTCAGCAGCGCCATCTTGTTCAAGATTGCCCGAATGCAGATTCAGGTCGTCAAGTCACTTCCTGCGGAGATCACGGGGAGTGTCAGCTCGATGCAGATTCAGCCCATGTTGAGAGATCAAATCTGGCGGGAGTAGGCTTCTGATCCGTTTATTTCGTGTTATCGAGGCCAAGGTTCATACCGGAGGAGTTGAGGGTTTTTCCCGAGGCACTGATAGAGCCTTGGAGTTCAGAGGCAGGATCGTAGTGCCGAAAGTCGAGGCCTTGCAGAAGGAGATCTTGACCGAGGCACACACTACGCCTTATCTAGCGCACCCCGGTAGCACCAAGATGTATCACGACCTGAGAAGGTCATTCTGGTGGCGGGGAATGAAGAAAGACGTAGCCAATTTCGTGAAAAAGTGTTTGGTCTGTCAGCAGGTTAAGGCCGAGCACAAGAGTCCGATAGGCCTTCTACAACCGCTCGAGATTTTGAAGTGGAAGTGGGAGGAGGTCACGATAGATTTCGTTACAGGACTACTCAGGTTGTCTGAGCATCATGACGCGATTTGGGTAGTAGTGGATAGGTTGACGAAAGTCGCACATTTCCTACCTGTAGTGATGACCATGTCGATGGAGAAGTTGGCTGAGATCTATACCCGTGGGATCGTTCGACTCCACGGAGTTCCCATTCATATCGTGTCAGATCGAGATCCTAGATTTACCAGCTGGTTTTGGGAGAGTTTACACGAGGCGATGAGCACGCAGTTGCAGTTCAGTTCGGCTTACCATTCAGAGACAGACGGTTAGTCAGAGAAGACGATTCAGACGCTTGAGGATATGCTACGAGCGTTGGTTCTAGACAGAGGTGCTAAGTGGGAGTCGATTTTGCCGTTAGTCGAGTTTGCCTATAACAACAGTTATCAGGCGTCGATCTAGATGGCTCCTGTAACGCCCCACTTTTATTTAACGAAAATCAAAATTTATTTATTTTTTTTTTTTAAAATTTATTTCAAAACACATGGCGGCGCTACTCATTTCCAAAACAGTTTCCAGTAATATCAATAATGTAACTCCCAAACGGGTTCAATAATCATGCCAATACCCAGACCGGGTTCATAAATAGCATCAACTCCCTGAACTGGGTTCCTCAAAATCATAAATACTAAGGAGTTCACTCCCTAACAATAATCCGATACTCATTATTCGAAAAACATAAATAACAATTCAAATAAGCGGAAGCAATATCAGATATATGACCACCACTTGCCTTCCTCCGTCGTGCCCGCAATACTAACCTGCATCCATGAAGAGCAGGTGGGGATGAGCACAAATAGAAACATTAGTGCTCACCACTATGCAATAAATGTTAATCTCAATAATAAACAATGATCAATAATCAAAAGTATGGTCTCAACATGTATACGTAAATAATTAGTTAACCCAACCTCCTATCCCAAGTTCGTTCTCATGTGCACACCTATATCAATAGACTACTGCCGACAATATATCGAAAGCCACGGCCCTCGGCCTTCTGGTCTTACAACGAGTGTCCAACCAGTAGGAGACTCCTCTGAAGGCCCGGCCTCGCCATCGGACTTACATCGGGGTACTTATCGCTGACCGAGCACGGCCCTGGTCTCAAGCGACGTGTCCTTCGCAAGGACGTAAAGAGGAGATTACCCCATCAGGTCGTTCTATAGTTACGGGGATAACCATTTGATGGCCGATACAGCTCACATCGAAGGCTACATGTTCCACATGCATACTTTGATCACACCAAGTAAAATAATAATAATAACAGTAATAACATTTAAAGCATAGCCAATTTTTCAAAACCCACCTGGAAATCGCAGTAGAATATTGCACATAAAAGTAAATACGTAGGTCGAGAGCTCGACTCCTCAAATACCTACATTTAAGCGAGATAATTTATCAATAATCTATCTCACTACTCGAATTTAACATAAAACCTGTACTTAATCAAAATTAAGGCTTAAGGGTTTTAATCGTATTTTTCGTGGACTCGTAACTCTCTCATTTTTGAAAAATATGACTCATAGAATAAAAATGGAGTCTCGGGACTTAAAATAATTTTTCCAATCTTTTCTCATTTAACAAATATTTTTAAAAATTAAAATTGGTATTCAAATGGGCTTCCGGAACTCAAAATAGGCTTAAAAGACCGAATTGGGCTGCTCTAAG